AAAATTCAGCTCACGAGTCGGCAAATTTCTTGTACTGCAATAGCACACATCAAAGTATCTTTATGTCTCTCCTACCCTCGTCAATTGTCTATTCTATGCCATAACTTTTCCCTCTCACCTACTTATAAAATCGAGTAGCTATCATGTTAAATTCATATGGGCACCTGAAGGGAGCATGTGTAAAACAAAAGGTTATAAAACTTGTCGGTAGGATCACTATAACGCCAAGTTATTTTTTTACAACTATATATTGTACATTCTATCATTTTGTTTATCTTACTAGTACACATGATAACATAATCAAAAGAACGCGAGTACCTACACTTTGTACTACGAGAGTTTAACAGATTTTGGCTAGTCCATATTTTCTCATATAAACTTAAACGAGTGATTTCCTAGTCTATCAAGTATATGAGGGCTATTGTTCAACCGGAATCCTTTGTCAGACAATGTAAGACTTCTTAGTTTTAAAACAAACTTTAAGTTCAACAAAGTGAGCAGATTTAACAAAGTTCAGACTTTGTCTAGTCGCTCCCATGTAAGTATTATCTCGATGTGGATTCGAAGTGGCTTCTTTTCATATTCTACTCTTTGTCTTTCCTAAGTAATTCAACAATGGAAACGAATTTGTCAGACGCAGCACGTGGAGGCACTTACGAGACATTGAAACAGGTACTCTGTACTCCCTTTGTGTTTGTTCGAATTTCATTCTCTATTCAAAAATTATGCGTCCACATATTCCAAAACAGAATATTATAACGTTACCATAAAAGAAATCGTTGTCATATGGAAATGCTACAATTTTTGTGACTATTTGCCTCTGGACGCTAACATCGTTCATGTGTTATGCTTATAGATGCCATTGAACTTTGTCAATTTGAATTATAGACCACTTTGAATATGAAATGATATTTTCTGTCTTCTATGAAATGTTTTTCCTAAACAGACAATCCATATTTAAAACTTTTTATAAACATATATTCAAACGTTATAACAGTTCATTGCGCTTGTAACGACACTGTTAACACATAATTTACTCCTCAGGTCCATAAAACTGACCTATTTATTGCCCATAGCTCATAGTGATAAGCTCAAAATTTCTTGTCATTAAGCGGGTGATAGTGTCCCGTGAACCATTTTTGTAACTAAGAGTTGATATTCTTTTGTTTTATTGTGATAAACTCAAGCACATACATCACCTCAGACCCGCCGAGTATAATATTTTTCATTGTAATCTACGGTCTGATCGCGGACATATCGAAGTCTACACATACCTACTCCAATATAGGCGTGTCGGAGCATAAATCAAAAATTTCGGCGTCCCAATATGAAGTTACCGGAATTAAGCATTCTAGGTGGTATTTCTTGTATCGTAATACAATGATAAATGACTTATCTTGTTGTATCTTATTACCATAACATGACAAGTCCATTAAGTAGTGGTGGACACATGTAGGAGCCTTGGGGCAGCAAAACGGAGTGAAATATATTTGGTTGTAATATTATTCATGACGTCAGATTGTGTTAGGTGTAGTGGCGGCTCGAGCCGAGTCATCGTTGGTAAATTTGTTATACTTGGTGCGTCGAATTTTGATCTTAAGATAAGCCTGTCTTGTGGATACTCGGTCTTATTAAGTAGCCAGCTACATGTCAGGTAATGGAGTACGTTTCTTGTTGTTCATTAGAAATGTCCACTTTTAAATTAGACCAAGAGACGTTGTGTGAAGAGGAGAATCATAAAAAAAAAATATTGATTAATATATTTGGATAAGAGTAATCGGAAGCAGTTTTTAACTGTGTTTACAGCTTTGTAAACCTAATTTTAAAAATTGCTTTAAATGACATGCTTAAAGCACTTATACATAAACGTTTCTATTTTTTGAGGTATCTGTAGAATCCAATTCCACAGCAACGTACGTTGGTTATTTTATTGTAATGAGGGATGTTCGGGTCAGTTGGGTTTCGTCTAGATTTTTCTTTTTTTAGTTGTATACTATGTAAAAAGAAGCAAGGGTCACAGATCTTCTTTTTTGTTTTTTTTTTATGATAGGTAGCGACGGGACGAATAAGTCGTATGCTTGCTGTTAAGCAAGTCCATAGCAGTTGCAGTTTTTACTTACAATGAAGAATAGAAATATATTTTCTTATTTATTTTTATTAATAATTTCTCAAGCCTCCTTATTAATTTTCGTGTAATTAAACAAGCGTTTTAAGTAGCATTTTTAATTTATTCGACTCTAGAGTTCATTTAAATTAAAACTCTTATAAAGGGTGGTCTGGTTTTTTTCTGCGTGAAGGTAAATTAAGTCTGAATTCTGCTTGGAAACAACACGAAATCGATTCGTGATTACACGGTGGCTGTTCTAAAGACAGAGTCATTTCCTCCCTTTAAGCTCGATGGCGTGTCAAATGCTTACCTTTAATCATTTTTGTTTTAGTCGTCAACATTTTCTTTTTACAACTTTTTATTAATACGGAATTCTATATTACATCGTCTTGTCAACCCAAATAAATGGAAATAAGATAACTATTTTAAAGATCTCCGTGGTCGAATAGCTTGCACACTGATTTTCGTGGTTTCGCCATCTCTAAAGTCCCGGGTTCGATCCCGAGTCGGATAATATAGAAAAACTAACTTTTCTATATTGTGTCGGGTCTGGATGTTTGTCATACTGTCGTCGATTTCCATAACACAAATGCTTTAGTTACTTACTTTGGGATCGAGCAACATAATGTTAAACGTAACGTGATGCTTGAACATGGAAATTAATTCACAAAAGTTCTCTTTTATTGTTTTCTAATCACTACTAAAACTTTAAATAGTATTATAGTATTGGCAGCATACGGTGTATCAGCTGAAAGCTTACCAATGAGAAAATTTTACAGTACAGGACGCGATCCCAAGTCTCGTAAATTTCTAGCCGCTCCACTTGTATCACTGCGTATTATCTAAAGTGCTAAGCTTTACCTTACATCTGAGCAATTATGGTTAATGTAGCAATATTGTAGCAAACGTAATTTTAAATTATCCTCTTTATTGCTCATATAATCCATGGAGCGCGAATCTCCCGCCCGTATATTAACCAGACTCGGATCATAAAGGTCCGTTGTGCGAAACCGTATATCTCTCTTGTAAGGACGTGTTTTTTGCCGTTTGTTTTCACGCAATAACCTCACATTACGTGTTATCTCCGCAGCCGGTTCCATACGACTTCACTCATTTATTGTATTATACATTTGTGGGAGGAGCCAACGACCGCGCCACTGAGCGACCTTCCCACTTCGCAAGCACTCGCAGGACGAGGCGGCGCGCACTATTCAACAAAAAATCCAACCAGTTAGATGGAATCCATTATTTTAAACTTTGCTAGGATAGAAAAATAGGGGCTGATTGAAGGTTTCCCCTCATTAATAAGCTATTAGATTACCGATGTCGCACCGGGCGATTGGTAGGCCATAGGGAATCCCAATAAACGCAGTCCCCACTTCCACTTCGATGGCAGCTCGAGATTCAAAAGAAGCCCCGCTTTTAACGTACACGAAACAAAACAAGCTTCAAGGACCCCACTCTAATTCTTTTTATGATCTCCGATTTCAATTGCTCCTTCAGAAATTTTGAATATAGGGAGGGACAAGTTTTGTCACGTGGGGTCGCCCTGCAAAAGCGTATAGAAACGCTGGTACATACTTGAATAATGCGGGCGGACCCCATAGGTGCCTATTAATGAGAGTGCCCGAAGAGCGAGAAGGATATCGCATCTAAAGATCAGATTGACAAAAAGCAAAGAAAAGTAGATCTACGACTAGTGTTACGAGCCGCTCTGTTATTAAACATTTTAAATAAATACGTTTTCTGTTAGGTCCGTTTTTTATTGATCCCATTCAGTCTGTAGAGATGTATTAGACTGATCTCGAAACCCGTTGATGTAAGCACGCACACACGTAAACATCTATAGTTTTTTTGCCACTGGCCGTACATGTATGTCTGTTTTCGGAATATTTTTGTCCCCTTTCGTGGTGCTTTTTGATACCGATCATTTTTTGTTCGCCCATTATTACGGCGCATTGTGCGAAGGTTTAGCTTGGATAAGATCTCTGATATGTCACCGAAGTCTCTACTGTATTTTTTGTTAGTCAGAAGGAGTAACCTTTTTAGTAAATTACGAATAAAAAACAATGTGAGAAATATTCGATGTGAATAATTGTCAGCACATTTTGAAAAGGTTAATAAAACGACTTGAGAAAGCATTGAAGTTGCTAATCAAGATTTAAAAACAAAAAGACAAGAACATATAAACAGTAATAACACACTATGCACTTATTTTTGTTAAACTTTGAAATGTCTGTCAACAAACGAAAAATCAAATAACTGTACATCATTAGATATACAATAAAAGGCCAAGTATGTAGTGCTGAAATCAATGGACTGCTTGTCGTAGAAAAAAAACTTGTAAATTTTGAAGGGAATAAAAATGAAGGTTACATTGAAGACAAAAGAAACGGTATTTACAGTATAGTCACTACGAAAGTATTTGTAGCAAAACCGAGATTTCAAAGGAAAAATAATAAAGAGGATCGAGACGTTTTGTGACTGGCGTATTTTAACACGTTCCCTGTGCATGCATCATATGTGATGCATTTCGAGGTCCAAACGACACGTGAGTGCACCACATATGAGACACGACCCTTTGTAAATTTAAAAGTTTTTCAAAATTTGCACGTGTAAGCTAGATCATCTTTATTTGCTTGCACGTATGGACCACAAAAATTGTGACAATAAGCATGTGGTACCGGATGACTTTTTAACCAATGTTGCCAGATTATTACTATCAAAATAAATCACGAAAAATATTTATTATTTTTTTATTACAAGTTAGAAAGGTCTAATTATTGACTTGCGTATACGGCACATGATAATAAAACTAAACAATAATCAAATAAACAATGTCATAAAACCCAAGAATCAAAGCTTGTCTGGTAAGCACAACTAAAATCATTATTTAATGGCTAGCATTGTAGCAATGAAGGCACAATGCTTTTTTACACATCAAACATTCGGTGTCCGTTTGCTTTGCCTTTCTACGAGCTTCTGTAGGTGTGTTGCCTTGTTCAGTCATAATTTTGTAGCAACCAACACAACGCTTTCTGGAAATTTTGGTAGCACATCGGCGTGGGATTTTGGTCAATTCATGGCGGGACAAGTTAGATGTCATTGATGGCCCAGCTAACAGCTCAGCATCTTGAATTTCCAGGAGATGACTGATAATTATTTCATGACCTGTCAGCAGTGTCATTTTATTATTTCGATGGAGGTCCTTGTAGATCAAAATTGCATTTACAACAGCTACCGACATCAGATCACCCGCAATTTTTTTATACCAAAAACAAGTTTTCCGAACGGGCGAATTGTAACTTGCGAGCTGATCAGCTATATCAATGCCCTTCTTGCCGCGATTGTAATCTAATACAATTTTAGGTTTCATGATTGGCCTGAAACCAGTGGACATTGCCATTTGATGATCATGACATGTTGATAAAACCAAAACATCTCGCTGGTCTTTCCATTTCAATACAGTCATGCATTCATTTTGACTGGCAGCTATTTCACCTTTTTTTAGCTGTGCATTTATTACTTCTGCGGGAAGATTTCGTCTGTTTTTCCGGACAGTACCACAAAAATCTGTTTTCTGTTGTTTTAGGTATCTGGCTAGAGACACACTGGTATAGTAATTGTCCGTTACTAATAACCTGCCTTCGTTCAACAAGTCTTCAGCTAAAGTAATAACCACTGAACCCGGTTTGTCCAGACCTTCAATTATTTGATCTTCCCCTGAGTAAACTTTGTAACTCCAGGTGTAACCCGTATCAGTACATAATATATATATTTTCATGCCATATTTGTCACTTTTCTGGGGGTTGTATGTACGAATATTCAATTTCCCTCTAAAGCCAACCATCGACTCGTCTACTGCAATAGTGTCTCCTGGAGTGAATATTTTCCGAGAGGTATGAATGACTTTATCTATAAGTGGTTGTATTTTGTAAAGTCGTCCACAATGTTGACTTCTATTGTCAACAAAATGCCAACATCTTAGAATAAGGCAGAATCTGTCATATGTCATTGAAATCTCGTGAAGAAGTGGATGGTAATACAATCTGGTCTTTTTCCAATAACACTCTGTAGTGGGAAAATCGATCACTCCTGTCAGTAAATATACACCAATAAATTTTCGCATTTCTTTGGCAGTAACATCCTTCCATCTTTTTTGACGAGAATTCTGCTTTAGCGTGCGTAGTTGCAGTAACTGTGCTGCATAAATGTTTGTGTGATAAACCATGAAATCAATTATTTCATCATCTATAATTGAACAAAATATGGTCCATAAATCAGAATCAGCCGAAAAAAAAATTATTTGCTTCTTTAATTGGTCATAGCCAGTAAAAACTTCCTTTTCTAAAGGCCTTACGTTAGAATTCCACGCCGTTTGCAAGCTTAATTCAACTCTAGATGGCAGTATGGTAGTTTCCTCATTCCTAGGCAATGGCAGCAATGCAGATTCTCGAAGGCCAGATATAACTCTGGGCACTGACAACACTGGAAGCTGTCGAACCTCTGACGTGACTCTTGGCACTGGCAATACTGTAGGCTGTCGAACCTCGGACATAATATTTGGAACTGGCAACACAGGCTCATCAATTTCAAACAATGGCGGCAAAGCTGGTACTGGCGATGACATACTGGGTTGTTCAAAAACAACAGAATCTCCTGCAAGCAATGCAGGCACTTCACAATAATCATGATTGATGAAGTCTCTTATACTATCAATAGTCTCTGTGCCACAAGGTGGAGACATCTCATCGCACATGTTTGAATCCTCTAATTCCTCCATAAGATGATCTTCACCATCACTTTCTTCTAAAACTTTCCATATTTCTTCCGACGTATATTGGGAAATCGGTTTACCTCGGGATTTTGAGCGTTTCATGATAAACGGCAACTTTGTCAAACACTTAGATAACTATATAACTCGTAACACTTTATAATAAACTTTCACTAACTTTTTCTATCTTTTCACGGTATAGACTACACATAGACTACAGATATTTAACTAAAAGATCTGTCAAAATGACTCTAAACGTGCATGAATTATATGTGATGCATTAAGTTAACAACTAGTACGTGCATGCACCATATATGTGGCATCAAGTAAAGAGCTCATACGTGCGTGTATCATATATGGGGCACTCGGGAAAAATTAGATAATGGAAAGGGAGTTTATGAAAATGAATTTTCTATCCATAAATGTATTAATATATATCAATTCCGACGTATTTGCAAAAAAAAAAAATTGCACGTGAGGGGTCAATTTTTGATTTCTAGTTCCACAGGGAACGTGTTAAAAGGTATCTTATTTGAAAGGTATCAAAAGTCACCGAGTTAGCAGAACAATGGCCCTCAGGCTTGTACAAGACGTCTTCGTAAGCCTCGGATTTAATCGGAAGATTGGCCATTTGCCGATGGTTTGTAACGATAACAATCTCATAAATCACATTCAATGCCATTCATGTTTCATTACGTATATTATTTATCAGTACTGTCGCGAAGCTTACGACTCTATTGCTGATATTATTAAGATTTTTTTAATGATCATTAGTAAGTATCATAAAAATCACTAAACCACTTGCACTGAACATAAGTACGCTTTAGACAATGCTTAAATTGATAAGACAGTCTTAAACAATCTATTAATATACTATAAATGTCCCGTGTGCCTGTAATTTCACCAGCACCCTTCGAGCGTTTGCGCAATACGTCCGATTCCTATCAGTTCCGAATCCGAGAAATGTGGGTTCAAAATGTCACAGGAATCATTTTATCTCTAGATGTACAAGCGATAGGAGTAATTCATTACCGTCGTAACTAATTACAGATGAATTAATAAGACTTTGAAAATGGGAAATTCTACACAAAAAATAAAAGTCATGCGATTCTTTGACTTCCGCCATATTTGATTTGCATTTATAATGAGTTTATTATTTGGAAGCTATAGTAACGTAAATTCAATTAACGACGTGCAGAATTTATGAAATTATTATTTAATTGCCCGAATGATATGACGTTCTAAAATATTGTTATATTTTGTTATTATTATAATGTTTTATTGGTATTCGGTTGCGATTAATTGTACTGTTTGGTTACAATGTATTATATACATAATATACATATACATAATTATGTATATGCATAAAAACTATGAATACTTTGTAATTCTTTTTTTTAACGCACTTATGCTGCCTGAGTGCTGCCCTTATATCTACGTTATCGACAATTTTAATTATATAAAAAAGCGAAATTGAGTTGTTAACACATCGGGGATAAGCGTAAGGAGAGTCGTAGATACAACCCTCTCTATCAGTTTTTTTATAACTTATTCAGTTTCAATTTTATTCTTCATTTTATTTCTTGTTACTCAACTGTTTTTAATACTCATAACATGAACACCCACATAGACATCCACAAATTGCGCTAAACCTCACGAGAGAAATAAATGTGGGCCATACAAATATTTTTCCCAGCCCGGCGAACCCGGGAACACTCCGTGGCATACTTGCATGTTAACTATTCGATCACGGAGGCAGTTTTTATTGTTAAGCAAAATCAGCGTAATTGACATTTTTACTGTCAAAAAACTTTAGGTGCCAATATCTAGAAAACTACCGACAAAGAGGGCAGTAAGAATAAATAAATAATTTGATTTGAAACCAATACTTAAAACTAATAATCTCACGATTCTGTGAGTTCTACACAGTTAGCACTATTTTCTCGACTTTGTTACTTCACTTTTACCGTACCTAAGAGAGAGATGTTGTAATTCGACGTAATTTCCTTTAGACGGAAACTACTACTGGCTGAAAGAGGTCCTGAGAGGGCTACGGTCGTTTTGTATCCGATTACACTGAACCTGGTAGTGGCCGATTGTTTGTCGCGTCCTCTCAATGTTTACACAATCGGACTTGTGTTTTCCCCTTTGGTGACTGGAGAGCTATTTTCAAACACTCTGTACCACCTTACGAGACATTGGTAAAGATTTTAAAAGACTTTTTGGTGGATGTTTGCACAAAATTGTACCTGTGTAAATCTTTAATTTTAAATGCTGTGTTAGCCTAATGGTTTCATCCACAGAACAATAAATACAGTAGAAGTGGTTAGATAGCGTCTGACGTGCCAACTAATGCTCTCGAAACACCTACTTGAGCTCAGACCGCCATTTTGATTTTGTATGGTATGGTCGTGCAAATTGTCTAAAATGCCGTATTGTGCTGTTTTGGAGTGCAAAAACAATAGCCGCACTAAAAATACTGCCCGTGGTGGTATTTCATGTCATCGAAAAGTCCTATTTTAATAAATTTTCAATTTTCTGTTTATCAAAATATATTTTTTTTAAAGAAACGAAAGTAAAGCTTATACCCCTGCAATATGGTCGCTTTTTTTGAGAACTAAATTAATAACTCCTAAACTAGTAACTACCATGAACTTTGCGGTGAAGGAAAACGACGTGATAAAGATAAAACTTGCACGTCGAAGAAGTATGGCCTAAAACCTCGCCTCAAAGAATATCCGTGCCCAGCAGTGAGACATATAAATCGGTTGATGGTAATTTAATTCTTGATACCTAGTACGGTTTATAAAAAATGTGACAGTACAATTAAAGTCCTCTATAAAAGGGTTATTCTGTTATGTTCTTTTAGTAACTTACTACTCGTAATTGCTATAGTAATTTCGATAAACATGCAATATAGTAGTATAATATTATTTTACTGCATCGTAATATTGATTTGTTATTACAGCAAAGTGCTATTAAATCATTTTAATTACAGCATCATACTCAGCGTAAAATTGTTAAAAAAAACTTTTAAACTATGAGCTGGCCGAGTAATATCATAAAATTTCAATCTCACTTGATATACGGCATACATAAATCGATTTTTTACGTTTATTATGTTCTTGTAATAACACTGAACTCCTACTTCGTCTTTTTTTTTCATTTACGAGTATGACACAGTTTTTATTGAAACCCAATGTTAAAGTCATCATAAAATTGGGTATTCAATCCGTCTTAGATAAACATGATGATCTTATTATCGGATTTGGATATAGTAATTTTTATAAAACAAATTTTCTCGTTGTAATTTGTATTCTTACAAATTGTATTCAAAATTTTCAAACAAAACCTATAAACTTCCTTTATGTTGCATTCTTTAAGAAAAATAAAGTTTTATTACAATTTTATCTTTTAAAAGTAGCTATAATAAAAACATTGGTTTTTTTTACTGTTGAATCGAAATTCGCTATTTCTTTAATATTCGTACAAATTTTCTGCTGCTAACATTTTATTCGAAATAATTGTTTCATCGTTACGGCAAAAGTTTTCAGATGTTCCGCGAATTTCATCCCATCAATGGTTCCCAAGATTTCGGGTAGCAGCTGTCGATTGCGCGTTCTGATTGTACAAAATTTAATCCGTGTTGCATGGCATATTGGGTTTCTTTTTCGGTCGATTGAAAAACTTTTTTTACTTGTTCAGGATTGTCGCCTAAGCTTCCTTTAGGGTCATATTACACGGTAGCTTTTTAAAGCGTTATTGGACGGTAGGTGCTGCAATGTATCAGCTTACTTGGTGTCAGTTATTGTAATCATTTGCCGCAACGTTATGAGCTGTTAGTAGGAGGAATAATTGGGCGGGATAAAGCCAATTTTATGTGACAAAGTCAAAACGTTACAATTTTATAAACTTGTATATGGAACTACTACCAATATTAAGTTTGTTGTATGTCACTGTGTATTACGGCCATTATATTCAATTATTTTTTGTGAAATTACTCCACTAGTTTGTTACAATTATTAATACGAAAATCGAACACAAAACTCATTCGATCTGGCTAGACTCGAAACAGCGCCTTCAGCATAACGTGGTAGAATTCGTTCCGCAGCAGCAACAATCAAACAATCAGTGACGGGACGAACAAGGGCCCGGTGGTAAGTGACATACCTGTCCATAACAGTCCTAGTGCCACTCAGAGCTCTAAATCGCAAAGATCTGAGGGGCACTGCCACTGCGCCCATTACCTTGAGACATAAGTTGACAGTCCCGTGTGTCTGTAATTTCACCAGCACCCTTACCCTTCCAAACCAGAAATAGGCACCTGATCTGTTTGGCAGCAGAAATAGGTCAGGTGGCAGTACTTCCCTGGACAAACTCTTTCACAAGGAACTCTACTACTACTGAAAACATAGTTGGGAGAGCGTCAACCACGGTATGGTGAAGGCGCTGGTTGGAGACCTGTCGTATCGAAAGAATTTTTCTTTGTGTTCGATCTTTGTTGTAATTATTATAAATACTTCCAACGTTAAAATATTACTTCATGTAATAGTTTATAGGTGGAGGTAAAGTCCTAATCGAATTTACAAAGTATTTAATGTCTTCACACCTTTTCGCAGAAGCTTTTTCGCACCATAAAAACATTGTGCATTCACCTTCTTTATTAATGCGTCTGTCATAAAATTCTTGCACATATTTGCTAAGCAATTATTTAAAATCAATTTCTTACTTGTACTCCGAAGCAATTCTTTATTTGCTGTTGTTAAACACCCGTGACATCATTTCCAAAATTCTAAAATGCCAACTTTTTTCTTGTTTACCTTCCACATAGCTGTATAAACGAAAATCAAAACCAAATCAACGGCAAATTAACTTCTGAACATTCGACCAAAAAAATATCGCAGCTGTAGGTAAGCATTCAAAAACAATATTTACGTTGCTATATAGAATAAAAGAGAGTAAATACAGTGAGCAATTACAACACGGTAACATGTTTGTTTAGGACTAAGAAATTGAAGTGTTTTCGAGCGCGGCAAGACATTTCGTTCATGGAGAACAAAGTTTTCGATTATTGATAAAATAGGAGTTTGCAGAAGTATACAATG